CAAACACATCGATATCCGCCACAGAGAGTCCTGCAGAGAGAAGAACTCAGACATGTTGGACAAACTCACACTTTCCTCCACGTTCACGGGTGAGCTAAGCCCCGCCTCCCAGCTTTAGGAGGAGGCAGGAACCTGTAGGAAACATGCTAACGATACTGGAACAAAGATCTCTGGGTTAATTACGTCTTTCATGAATCTTAATCTGAAGGAGGACACGTCGGCGTACAAACACTTCCTACCTGCCTGCTGCAGCGCTGCCGGGATGGCGTACGCCGGTCCGATGCCCATCACATCAGGAGGGACGCCCACCACCGCGCTGGCCCTCAGGACCCCCAGCACCGGGAGACCCAGCGCCTCGACCGCAGACCTGCGACCGATCAGGACGGCCGCCGCGCCGTCGCTCACCTGGCTGGAGTTACCTGAGACAAACGAGCACGTGAGCTCCTGACGGCCGAGCGAGATTCATTCTGCGGCCCCGCCCGCACTCTGACCTGCTGTGGTGCTGCCGTCGGGCTTGAAGGCCGGCCGCAGTTTGGCGAGCCCCTCCAGCGTCGTCCCCGGTCTCACGCCCTCGTCTCTGCTGACCGTCACCTGACGCTCTTTGCCCTCGTCGTCCACAAACTTGGTGGTAACGGGGACGATCTCGTGGTCGAACAGACCCGCCCTCTGCGCCCGCGCCGCACTGTGTGGAGGAAGGACCGGGATTTGGTTGCAATGGAAACAGAAACAATCCTAAACATGCGTCAGTTTGTTTGACTTGGCTGCTCTAAACACTCAAGTTTTTTCTGCTCTTGCATCTCTGTGATGTCACAGAAGAGGGGACAGAAGCTTCCAGGCAGCCAATCAGAGGAAAGTTAAAGGGGGCTGGCCTTAAAGTGGGGATGGACCGAGTGGATTATTTATGTCACGCGCGGAGTGAAAATATGGAGCAGGAGATTCTTGCGTGTTGCTGAGACGTTCTTACTTCTGCTGGGAGCGGAGCGCGAAGGCGTCCTGCGTCTCTCTGGAGACGCCAAACCTCTCTGCCACGTTCTCCGACGTGATGCTGCAGAACAAACACGACACGTCTCAGTTAAGACAAAAATAACCGTTAACATTTCAGCTGGGAGTCATATTTCAGCTTTTTATAGACGGTAACCAACAAAGTGACGCCTGTCAGGAGTGACGCGACTCATTTTTGAATCACTTCAGGATAAATTCTGCAGCTGGTTATGATCAGAACGTCTGCTCACACATGCAGCACTGTGTGAGAAGAATTAGTGTTTATCAGCGAAATCAGGAACAATAAATTATGAAACGTCCTCCTTTCAGCTGGACAGGATCTACAATCTGATTCGCCGATGCTCGGCGCGTCGACGATCATAAACAACATCTGGAATTATAAAGCGTCTCACCCCATGGGAATGATGCAGTCTCTGGCTTTGTCGTTGTCCATCAGCCTGGAGCTCAGGTCGCCCGGGTTACCGATCCCTCGCAGCGACATGCTCTCCACGCTGCAAACAAACAGGAAACGCATCACTTCTGTCAGTGTGTCATAAAAACTGTTAAAATGTCCACACGCTGCCATAGGAGCTTAATCCCAGTGTATGACCATGACTGTGATCTGCTCAGGATTATTATGGTATGTCCACATACTTTAATGTACTTTTGATCAATTTGTGTTTAGTTTTTAAATCAAATGTGACTTTTTATAAATTCAGATATTATTATTATTATTATGTCAGATTAAAGTTCAAAGAGATCTAAATTAACTGTTTGTGTCTAACCTGTAATTTTCCTGACTCCTTAATTTTATTTCAAATAAGAATTTTTAGAGGAAGAAAACACATTTGGACTTTTTAAAACCACGACCATCTACTCACTCACTGTTTATAATAAACATTTTAATGAATTATGAGGTAACTATTGGCAGAACTGGGCCTCCGTACATCGATGGCATAGTACATGTCAGAAATTAGCTAAGAAAAGTAAAATAGTTCATTATGTGTGTTTATTTAAAAAAATTAAACTTCACCTGTTTACATGAAAAATATTCTTCATGTTTAAAACTCTCAGCTTTACTTTTTAATTTTTTAACAACATCTGGATCGAGTGTTAAACCCACCCGCAGGCGAGGCCGAGGTCGATGGCTCTGCTCCTGATGGCTCCTGCACACACGGGTCAGAATTCGGTTATTCGGGTAAAAACCGGGCGGTTGGGTTAGTGGGAGCACGGCGGCGTTACCTGCTACGTTAAAGAGCGCCTGCAGGCCGGAGGAGCACTGCCGGTTCACCGTGTAGACGGGCACCGACTCAGGGAAGCCGCTGAAAGGAGGACGGAGCGGTGAGGAGCGCAGACAAACAGCAGGAGAGAGTCAGAGGCGTCAGACTCACCTGAGGAAGTGAGCCACTCGGGCCATCAGTGCGCCGGCGCCGGGCTGGAGCACGTTACCTGAACAGACAGAGGTTACATCTTCACCTACCTGCAGACAGGTGAGTCAGCCGACACATCAGAGCAGACGCGAAGGACAAAGCCTCACCCACACAGACGTCTCCCAGCCGCTCAGGCGACAGTCCGACGTCCTTCAGCACGGCCGACATCACGGCGCTCAGCAGCTCGTCAGGCGTGGTGTCCTGGAGGTGCGGAAAGAGTTAAACAGGACTTTATTCACAGCAAAGCAGAAAAGAAAGAAAGATCCCACCACAGCAAAACACGTTTAAACTTTGAGCCCGAATTTCAACCTTAAAAATATTAATAAAGTGAGGCGCTGTGACTGGAGGTCAAAGGTCATCCTGACCACACGCTGTCAGCCTCACAGAAAATAATCTGCGTGATATCAAACAACACATTCAAATAATTTATATATAAAACACTGTTGTGAGAATTTTCTTTGTATTTACATCCATGTAAACGTTGTTTCTAAATAGAAAACTGATCAAACAGCTGCTCTGAACCTAAAGCCGCCTGCTTAAATAAAGCGCGTCTAAAGAAAATCATCTGAAATAAAAAGTAAGATTAATGATAAAGAGACTTAACTGGGCGTCATATTAAGTTTCCTCGGAACTGCAGCTTAAAACCAGTGAAAATCACCGTAAAAACGGCCGTAAAGCAAACTTCGTGGTTTTCTGGCCTCACCTTCGCCACAGCTGGCAGGTAACCTGCACTCACCTTAAAGCCTCCCCTTTTGGCCTTTCCGATCGCGGTCCTGCGGCCGTGAACCACCACCACGTCCTCCGGGGAGCTGCGACTGCTCGCCGCTGTCGCCGAGTCGCAGTCCGACCTCCGTAAGTCCCGCCTGAAGTTCGACGAGCCGCCGGGACGCAGGTGTCCGGAAATGATCTTCAGCCTGTGCATGACGGCGGAGGAGCAGCGAGGAGCTGAGAGGAGACTCGCGGAGCGGAGTTCGGCTCCAGACTGGACTCTGAACCCAGAGTCCGCTCCAACAACATCCGGGTTCGTAAAGCCAGGACGGGAGGAGCGGAGGGACAAACAGTGCGCGCGCATGCAGCGGATTTATCAGGTCAGACGAAAAGAATCAGAAAATTTTAATTATCCCCAATTAAGATACGACAGAGCAGCATGTCGATGAAGATAAGGCCAGGGCATAAACAGGCAATAAGAGTGAGATAATAACAAAGGTGGCGCTCCTCCTCTCGGTCCTGCAGGAAATGCAGCGGAGGCGTCGCCCAGAGGGGAGGCATTGAAATGCGGGGGGAAGAATGTGAGAGGGGTCGTTGATGATTTTGGCTGCCTGTCTGAGGCCTGTTGGCTGAAAACCTGCCAGTTCTGACAGGCCGATGACTGTAGAGCACACTGATGCAGTGTGCTGCAGTCTGTTCCTGTATGAAGGCTGATGGAGTGGAACCAGCAGCTGATGGAGAAGGTCATGATGCTTTCCAGGAAGGCATCGTAAAAAGTCATCATGATGGCTGTGCTGACTCCAAAGGAGTTGAGTTTCCTAAGGAGGTGTAGCCATTGGTGGCACCTCCTGAGAATCTCCTCTGTGTTTGCAGAGAATCTCAGGAGGTTGTCAAAGATGGTTCCCAGGTATTTGTACTCCTCAGCTACCTCCACTGGCTTCCCGTGACTGAAGCAGCCAGATCCCTCTGCCTGCTGGAGAAGGTCACCACCGCATTTCAATGCCTCCCCTCTGGGCGACGCCTCTCTTTGGTTTTGCTCACATTCAAGTTTGGAGCTGTCACACCTCTCTACAAACTCGTGGCCCGTGGTGCTGTGAGGGCCTGACAGCAGTGACTGTGTCGTCAGCATATTTCACCAGGTGACAGAAAAGCGTTATTATAAGTTATAACACGTTATTATATGTAGAAACATTGAGGGTAAATCTTTGTTGATTCACATCGAGCCAAAGGTCAGATTATTTATGATTTCATTCAGTATTTAACCATTTTTACTCTTTACGTTTGTCATTTTTAATGTATAGAAGTTTTCGTTTTTCTCGTTTCCCAAACATTTTGGAAAAACGTCAGAATTTGAAGCTGTTATGTTGATGTTTGTAATCTGTAATCATGTGAAATAAACTGGATTCTTTCTTTCAAAGTTTGGATTTCATGACCTCCTGTTCCTGCCTGAAAGTTACCAGAAAATATTTGATAAAAAGTAAACTACGAATGAAATTTTTTCATAATTTATTTAATCAGAAAACATTTTTCTTACTTCAAATTTCATTTGTGCTTTCTTGCACAAACTTTGGTTTGATTCGTTTATCAAATCAAAGTTACTGGAAATGCAGTAAAATTCCATTTTTATGTGAATTTATTACATTTTTCATTCACAGACTCGCTGGAATCATTTCTTCCCTCTGAAACGTTCAGATGGGATTTTTTTCAGCGTGAGACAAAAACAGACTCAGAAAAAAATCCATCAAACCTTTTATTTCCAAATGTGTCACAGTAACACATCGATAAGGCCGCCGACTCACTGCACATTCTGGCTGAAACAGACGACAGGAAACAAACAAACAAACAAACTTTGTCTTCGTCTACGATCAAAAAAAATAATTAAAAAAATTAATTTTTCAGATTACCCAAAGAAAAAGAGGAAGACGAGTAGTGTCTGTCACAGAAATCCATTTACACACCTTCAACAAAAACCTAGGATAACATAGGTACACATGTGATTTTCAAAGTAAGAGCCCGAGGATTTTAAACTACAAACAACTTAAATAGAGTTAAAATCACAGGAACATTTCAGTGAAACGTCCTTTTAATTGCTTCAAACAAATCAGAAACAGAAAATCAGGAATGTGATGAACCGTCCACGAACACAAACTAAAATAAAACTTTGATTCCTTCATCAACAGCAGGAATGTTTAAGAATCTCACTTTTACAAATTTTATTAAATTCAAATGTTTTCTTTAAGGCAACAAACTGAAAACCTTCAGAGACGCTGCTCGCCCAGTCCTCCCAGTTTATGTTTGGAAGAAGTCCCCAAGTTCCTGAAAAATCTTAAAGCTCTGCTCCAGGAGAAGAAACTGTCTGACCGACCAAAATAAAACAGTTGCATTTGTTTATTTATTTATTTATGGCACGTTTGCACCAAAAGGTATTATTGGAAATTCCTGTGTTTAAAAACAAAGTTTAAAACCTAAAACGAACAAAGCGTTCAGCAGAAACGAACAGATGCTGTGACTGAGGCCAACACAGCTGTGCTGAAGCTCAAACAGGGCTGTCGTGTAATACCAGTCGGCACCACAAGAGGGCGCAGTGAGACCTGAACCGTAATAAAGCTTCCCAAGAACATGAGGGTGGAACAGAGAAACAGTTCAGGTGAAAACATCTGGAGCAGAATTTCAGGATTTTAAAGTCGCGCGGAGCTGAGCTGGTGAATGTTTATATCAAACGCTCAGGAACCAGATCAGAGAGCGAAATATCCTGACAGCCGTGACAGAGCTCAGAGGAAAAACTCCCACAAACAGCTGAATCAGACTACAGGGAACACATTGTCCTCCTGCTTCAGAGCTGATGTTCACATTCAGACTGCAGCCACACAAAGTCAAATCACTGCTTGTGTCTCTTTAATTATCTGGTTAACGTCCACCGTGAGTAATAAAAGATGTGTTCGATCATCTCAGTCGCTTTTAAAAGCAAACACACTCGTCTGTACTTGCTTTTATCTGGTGACCTGAATATCTGATTGATTGTAGTTTTAGTGTTTAATCAATAGATATGATCGACAGCTTGTGGAAGTCCTCTGTGGTTCTGTGGACTGAACAGACTAACATAAGACCTTTAAACGGGGCTTTCAGACAGGATTGCACAGGTGTTTGTAGTGTGATGTCTGCTGACAGCTGTGGATTAATCTGCCACTGAAAGTAGTCCCGACCAACCTGAAGCCATCGTCTTTTCTTCCAACTCCTACGTAACGGAGACGATGAACACAGGCAGCGTTGGAGGGACGTCTTCTTGTTTCTTCATGTTTCCATCGAGTCGTCGTCGTTCCGTCTTTGAGGCTCAGCGAGTCCGTCTTTCCTTCGGCAACTTCCTGAGAACTCCACAGCTTTAAAGTCAACATGGCAGTGAAGCAGGAATCTCTGCGGCGCCCTCCGTTCCGCCCGTCAGGCGTAGAAGATGAGCTCGGGGATCTGGCCTCCCTGCACGCCAGTGCCGTTGGTGCTGTCGGAAGAGCACTGGAACTGGAAGGTCACTTTCCCACACTGCACCTCGGTCATGCCCTCCTGGCCGAAGTAGCTCAGCTCGTTGCCGTCCAGCACCACGCTGGCGGTGTAGAAAGTGTCCGGCTCGATCTGCACCGGGTACTCGAACGACACGGGGAAGGTGCTGCTCGAGCCGTCGGAGAAGTACTTGATGATGCGCTGGGCCATCGGTACGCCCTGGCGCTTCAGCTCAATCTTGGCGTTATATTCGGCCGAGCCGCAGCTGGAGCCGTACAGGCCGAAGCCAGCGATGAAGACGCGCTTGTCGACCGCGAACTGGATGCTGTCGCAGCGACCTCGGTACCGCCACTGGTTGCTCCTGTAAGCGCAAGACTGGAAGCGGTGGCAGCGTTGCGGCGACAGGCCTTTACGCGGTTTGGTGCAGAACAGCAGATCGGGCTTGTTGGCCGCGGTGTACCACAGGAAGATGTCATTGGTCTCGTTGAGCGTGAGCACGCCAGACTGCGCCGCCCCGTTGGCAAAGTCCTCCAGCGCCATGGCGGGGATGCGGATCAGGTAGATGGCCTTACCCAGCACCAGGCGCTTGTTCTCGATGGTTGGCGGCAAATCCTGCCTCTGACACTCGGCCTCGGCCCAGTTCAGCGCTGCCTCGAACACCACCATCTCTTTGGCGTTGAGCGTTTCCCGCCGCAGAATGCTCTCCAGCGTCTGAACGTCGATGTCGCAAAAACCCTCAGAGCGCAGCGCGAGCTCGGCCTGCGCGTCAATCACCTCCCAGCAGCGCTGCGTCAGGTCGGGTTCCTCGAACAAGCAGCTCTGCGACAGCAGCACGCAGGCGTTCTTTGCACTCAGGCTGGTCTCCAGGAAGTTGACGCAGGCTCGTGCCAGATGAGGTACGATGTACTTCTTGGCAGCATAGAGGGTGGCGAGCACCGTGTCGGCGCAAAGGTCGATCTCATCGCAGTAGATGTACCTGCGGAGGCAAAGGCACGGTTGTGGGTGAGCGGTCAGGTGTTTGTGTAACGAGGTAAACAAAATCAAAGGTTGACGCACTTCAACATGGCGAGGAAGGACGGTGGTTCTACGTCGGGGATGCGGATCTCGTCCTGATCCTCGGCCAGCTCGCCGTAGAACATGGCGTGGAAGACGGAGCTGCCGACAGCCAGGACGTACTGCCAGAACAGAGAACAACGAGGACGATGTCAGAGTCGAGAGTTACACTTTGAACACAACAACGCCCTGAGATTATCAAAGCTCAAAGAACAGGAGAACCACAACTGCATTTTATATCCTTTCACAACACTCGTGGTTACTTTAATTACCAATAAAAAACAATATTATAAACTTCCAGGAATAACAAAAAACATGATGCTGATGTGCTGAGATTTAAACTGAGTCTAGCTGACGGGGGTGAAGTGGTGGCGAGTTTCAGACACGAGGCGTGGAGCAGCTGAAGGCTTATGGCGAGTAAACACTGGAGCCAGTGATGCTAGATCTGGTTAAAGCGCAGAACTCAAAGCGCTTTATACAACATTCACCCTCCCCCCTCTTAAGTGCTTTCTAGCTAACATTTACACTCTGACGGATGCTTCGGGGAGAAACTTGGTATGTTGCCCACGGATACTTTAGCATGCAGTCAGAAATCAAACCAAACTTTAATTCATAGATGTCCTGATCTCCGAATGCTCTACATTCTGATTAAAGACAAACTGTTCACTGAGTGATTTGACACAGCCTGGTGTTCACATGCAGATCAAGGCTGTATCTGTTCTACGCTCTTTTATGGACCTTGGCATTGTATTTTTGATCCTTTTAGTTGTATGCTCATCTAATGGCTGAGCACTGATTACATACGACAGGCAAACACTTTTAAATTTAAGACTCTCCCATTCGTCTCGGGCTGATCCTTGCTGGAATCTGGGCGACGCCAGCCCGCCCTGACCGGACCCTCCGACCGGCTTCTTCCACCTACCTCTTCCTAACCAAGAAACGCTACAGGAAACGCGGTAGAAGGAGCGGCCGTCGCGTTCGCCTCAGGGTCTACTTTAAAGCCAGAGCCACAGGCTACCCACATGCCAGCCTGGACATTTGATCTTCTTTCCCTCCTTGCAGGAGCGCTCTGATGCTAAGTTGCTCACCCACCGTTGGATCTGCTCGGCTGACCATGAAGCTTACCCTGCCCTTCCTGTGGCATGTTTTCCTGCTCGGGTTTGGATAACATCGCTCCAACGCGGATTTTGCTGAAGCAACCTAAGTGTCCTACGACGCACCACCCGTGGCGATTTAGCCCCTAGGATACGGATGGCATTGCTCAATGTCAGGTCGCTGGTCAATAAGACCTTTCTCTTAAACGACTTCCTCTCCACTAACGAGATTGATGCTTTATTCCTGACTGAAACCTGGATTTGTCCTGGTGAGTTCATCCTTTTTTCCGATCTTCTTCCATCGGATTGTGTCGCTTTTAGCTCACCAAGGATTACTGGTAGGAGTGGCGGCGTAGCCTCGGAGATGACTGCATCCATGACCACACTCTGCGTGGTGGTTTACCGACCGCCTAAATATAGCAAATGTTTTATCACGGACTTTGCTGATCTCCTAGGTTCGGTTCTTTTTAAATTTGGTTGTGTTCTCATTGTCGGTGATTTTATCATACACAGTTGCTGTAAGGATGACCCCTTTGCTAAAGACTTCCTCGCTTTAACGGACTCTTAACCTGGTTCAGTGGGTTAATGACCCAACGCATGTTAAAGGACTTGTTTTTTCATATGGTCTGGACATTTGTGAATGAATTTTTGTCTTCTTTTGCAGCCATTCTTTCCCGAACCTCCTTGAAGCTGTTTGTTGTTATTGTGTTGCTGTGATATTCTGGTTTTATAGTCAGCTCCATGCGAACATGGTTTCTGCTAAACCGCGACAGCCTTTCATTAACTACTGATCGCTCCAGTGTTCAGAAATCAGCTGAGTCTTTAGCTAGAATCATGTGACCACAGATGTCCTTATTCAGTCTGCTCTGAGATCTTACTGAGACCAGTCTGTGCTCCTCACTGTATTTCTGACCTTCAGGCGGTGATGTCCTAACGTTTGCAGAGACTCAGCTGAAAGCATTAGAGTTGATAAAGCTGCCTGAGGAGCGAGCTGGTTGTGAGTGCTGAGCAGAATCTTCTGTGCTCTGAAACTGTCGAGTGTTTGCGTTACCTTGTGTCCGGGCACCCGCTGCGTCCCCCCCGGTGGTCCCACGACAAAGTGAACATCTGCCATCATCTCATTGTTGAACATGACTGAATTCCTATAAGAACACAGCAGTTTTGAGGGTTCGCTTAATGAAAAGACACCAAAGCAGGAGCAACCTGTCAGACCTGCAAACTCATCTTTCAAATACAGAAATGCTGGATGTGTGTCTGAGAAAGCTGCATGATGATTGAGGGTGAACTAAACATCCAGGACCCGTTCTCGGGGCTCTCACATTCTTGCAGCCGAGCATTTTAAAGTAATTTTTAAAAAGTCTTTTGCTTTTTAAATTCCGCTGCTGGCTTTTTCGGAGAGAATTTTAATCCTTTCTCTCTAGTGCTGGATCTCGGCCTCCTCCACACACCCACCTCTCTCTGATGGTGGGGTACAGGCCCTGCCAGTTACAGCTGGTGATGCTGGTGTTGTTGTTGTTGAGGTTCTGCTGCTGGTACTGCTGCACGGAGGCGGCCGGGACCAGCTTCTTGGTGGGAAACAGCTCCGCAGCCATCGTCCTGCAGTCAGACCGCGAACCCGCTCATGGCAGCCCCGGGAGCCGGTGCCACTGGAGGCCGGAAAGGAGAAGAGGAGCGCTGGGAAGAGAAACCAGAGTCTGCTTAAAACCCGCAGGATTTTAGCTGCGCGGAGCTAACATTAGCACAGCCAAACACATCTCGATACTTTCACCAAGTGTTTCAATAAAAGCGACAACAAATGACAAATCTGCAGCAGTAAAACCCCGAACCGGTGTGAGCAGGCAGCCCGACCCCGGAGTCCAAAATAAAAACTCATCTTATAAACGTGTTCCGTTTGTTAGCAGGTTTATGCTAAGCTAACTGAGTTATTTGCCACTTTAAAAAGTTCATTTCGCTTCTAAACTTCAGCCGTTTGTTAAATCGGTGCGTTAACACTCACCGTAAAGCCGCACAGATGTGCTTTCAATTATTTCCTCCTCATAAAACACGGTGTGTTGCTTTTTTGTGCGTTTAGCGGAGCAGCTCTTGTTTACCCGCAGGAGCCGCAGGCCTGTCAGCCAATCAGAGCGCAGCAGCGCCACACAGAGGCTTCTTCGTTTCCGTTTGGGAATCCAGCCTGAAGGCGAATGAGCGCCACCTGGCGGACCAGCGCTGCTTAAAAACCTGGTTTCTAAACCTTTAACAAGCAGCTTAAAACTGTTAATATTTATTACATAAAATAATAAAAATAATTGATAGCCAGTCTAACTACAGAGTCTGGTCAATAATAATTATAGTGGTCGAGACTTAGATAAACAAGAAATCAACCAATAAGATAGCAGAAAATCTTAAAAAAACCCAAACCTATGTGATAATCTGAGAGAAACTAAACTGACCGACTTCAGAGTGTTGTTTTTCAGTCTCTAGTTCCCGTCAACACTTAGAAAACAACAATGAAACCACGCAGGATGATATACAACATATTTCTTTATTGTTACTGATAAATCTGTCACTCTCCCACTCTGAAGGCAAAAAGACACAAAAAAGCCAAAACACAAAACACAGTGTGTGAACTGTATGTACAGCCCGAGCAGCTCCCGTCGTCCCTCCTGCAGTTTCACAATAAAACACATCCACAGTTTACAGGCAGGATTCAGTCTGGAGTTCAGCTCACAGATTTCATCTGCAAACACTGCACAGAGACGGAGCCGCGTCCCCGAGTTTATCACCGAAGAGGAAGAAATGAGACGTGGTTACAGGAGGACATGTTGGCCTCTGTTAAAGGAGTCAGGATTCATTTTTATTCAGCTTTAAAATAAACTAAAGATATGATGGAAGCAAATTAAAATAAATACATTTTGTGCACTTTGTCAAAACTCACACTCTGAAACCTGTTGTTGCTCCACCAGACTGAGAAATATCATAAATGTGCTCCAGTGTGAGTCTGCTTGTTTTGCTCTGCAGGTTTCTGTCAGCGCTGAGAGAAAACCCGGCAGAACAGAACAAGAAGGAGAGCAAATTTAATCAGTTACACTCTGTGAAGCTGAAAGTCTTCAGTTCATCCAGATGAAGACGTATGAAAGACTGACGACAAACTGAAAGTAATTTTGGGCAACAGAAGCTTCATAAGTGAGCGAGCGGCGTCTGTGCAGATTAGTACAAATCTTTAAACTTCTGAACCATTTAGGAACTCAGCGCTGACTCCACGTTGCTCTCAGCGGGCAGCCGAACATCATTTTCAACAAACTACTGAATGTTTTTGGCAACTTTGCAACATAAAAATAAAAGCTGCCATCACACGTGTTCAATCTAAAGCTGTGCTGTCGTCACTGAGAAAAGACTGAGACATTTAAGAAGCTGAAAACCATCAAACGTTTGTTTTCTTCAACACACGACTACACGACGCAGACGCTCTACAATCTGTCAAACCGATGAGTTGTTTTTGTTTAACGGGATGAGGCAGTAAGGATTGAAAACGTCCACAACTTCCTTTTATGGAAGAAAAAAACAAAAACGAATTGAATTGATTCATTTTAATGCAGAAATCAGCCAACTGTGTGGATATGCCCTTACTTTGGAAACCAAACAGGAAGTTGGTTTGAAACTCGTATCGCGGACAAAACTTTTGAAAACAGCCTTGAACACAGACGCGTGCAGGTACAGGTGAAAGTCGTGGATAAAAAGCTTCTACAGGAAGCGTTCACGTCTCTGCACAGACTGCATTCATGCTCCACACGAGTTTACAGGAAACACTCAACGTTTGAACTTTCTGCTCACAGACCCGTTGAAACCGCCCTAAACACACTCTTTACACCAGTTAATAAATAGATTTGCTTTAATACCTAAAACTGTACACACATATATCTGTTAAGTCTTTGTACACGCCGACCGTTTCACACCACGATGGGAAGCAGCTGCTTTCTGAGACGATGCGTTTGGTTAAAAAACACAGAAGTCGTTAAAACATCAGCAGAAACCCCGAAAATAAGAAACGACACGTTCAAGTAAAACAGAATAAAAAAGATCCGCCTCACGGCGCACAAACCGAGCTGGAAAGCAGATCTGAGGGCGCAGCACAGGTGTTACTCAGGTATGTTACAAGAAGGTAATTAGCATTAGCAACAGCAGGCGTCGGGATGAGTCGGAGGCGTCCGGGCCGATCCGTTTGATTTCTGGGGAGAAAAGCGTCGCCGCAGGGTCACGCCCACAAAAGCAGCCACATATCTTACAACCCGTGAGTGAGTGAGGAGAACCTTCCAGGTGAGGTTTCCCAAAAAGTCCCTGTTAGCGCCGCTCAGGGTTTAGAACAGAGCGCTCAGCGGATCAGAGATCGATGAGCAGCGTCTGGGAGGAGCCAAAGAAACCCCATCAGAGCTCAGGTGCAGCCAAACGGCGTCTGTTGTCCAGTGAAGGATTACTGCTCAGTCCCAGCAGGTGGCGCCCTCTCAGGTTAACCCCGCCCTCTCCACCTCATGGCGTGGACTCTGCAGAGTGCAGTGAGGACCTTCATGTTCGGATGTTTGGGGTTGGAGCCAATCAGGCGCCAATTCTCTTTAATGTTGCTTCCCACCGAGCGCCAGGTCATCGCGGCTCAGGTGGAGCACATTAAAGGCGGGGACAGATCCAGGACTGTCCTCGCCGCCGCTCAGCTCAGGACGGACAGACTAACAAACGGAGGTCGTGTGAAGGTTAAACTTGGCCGCCATCACCTCCCCGTCCCGACTCGTCTCCGGCGTCTCGGGTTTCTTCTGAGCGTCCGACAGAAAGAAGGCACGTTACGATGAGACGTCTGCGGCGAGCCCGGAGCTGTTCGAGGGAGGACGCACGCCGCGGCCTCCCGCGTGATAACTTCTTCCCCTCACTCAGAGGTCAGTTTGTTTTGTGGATCCGGGCCAGCCCGAGTCCAGCAGGGGGCGGGGCTTAACATGAGAAGAATCTTAAAGGGGGGGGCGTGGGGGTGATTGAGTGGGGTCACCTTCTGCAGAGGAAGCGACCTCCATCTGTCCAAAAATAAGAACCCCACCGAGAACGTCGGGGCGGTCAGCTGACCACATTCAGGTCATACGAAGACTTTGGCGAGCGCGTCGGCCCCGGCGCTGCCGATGTAGCACTTGGTGGGATGGAACGCCACGTCGTGGATGGACTCCTCGAACTTCTTACGATGTGCTGTGAACTCCTGGATGCAGGTTTTACTCTCCATGTTCCACAGACGGATCGAGCAGTCGTGACCTGACGGGAAGAGAGACAGCCAATCAGCACAGAGCAGCACTGTAAATAAAGATGGAGGCCATTACAGGACAAACAAACGATTGTTATTGTTGTTACATGGATACGTTTGTGTTTTTCATCATAAACGGACACTTCCTGGTTTCCTGATGCTGTGATTGGCTCGGCTGTGAGAACAGCGCGTTTTACTCCAGAGCTCTTAGAGTGAAAATAATAAATACAGGAAGTACCCGTAGGCTCTTTATAAAGTCTGATAATATTATGGGATGTGCCAGCTGGCGTGCGCTCGGATACTTACTTCCTGACATGAGGTAAAGGCCGTTTGGATCCACAGCGAGACTGGTGACAGCGTCCAGGTGGGCGACCATGGCGTGGATGAGCTTACCTTCAGTTTGAAACACGGTTAAAGTTTAAATTTGATCTGCGAGGCAACGAAAGAAGCGAAGCTGAGGACACGTCACGGCGTACCTGTGTTGTTATCGAAGAACTGGATGTGGCGGTCCTCCTGAGCGGTGATGGTGATCGGCAGCGTGGGATGGCTCAGCACTTTGTTGATCTTGCAGGGAGCTTCTGCGTGGAGGCGGGCGTGAGGAGGAAGGAGAACATTAGCAGTAAATACGTGTAAGCGTCAGAGCATCAGCTCGGCCTGCGGACGGCGCCGTGACACCGACGACGCTTCGAAACGGCAGCAGAATTAACTGGCAGACGCACAAACGAAAGTCTCTGCGAACTTCTCGTCGACACATCTGAAGCTTCATCCTGCTCATTGGTGAACGTGATTTAGAGGCGGAGCTCTGCAAACGCCGTTGGGACGCAGAGTGACGAGCAAAACAAACGTCGTAAACTCAGATTTTACTCACAGCAGAAGAAAGAAAACGGAGCGGAGACATTTTTAGAAAGAGACGGCCGGAGGAGCCCTCAGCAGCTGATCGGGTGTCAGGAGGTCGGTCACATGATCGGGGATAAACAGACTCACGTGGACACGCGGACGGTTCGTTTCCTCAGTTTGAACATGCGTGTCTGTCGTGAGTAAAATGTCTGTTTTTATTCACGCTCTTTGTTCTCGGGTTGTAAATACTCGCCGAGCTCGTGGTCGTACCTGGAGGACCGGCCGACTCCAGCTTCAGGACGAGCTGCTGCGTCTCCATGTTGAAGAGTCCGATGTGTCCGGTGTCGAAGGACGTCACCATGTGAGCCGGCTCGCTGCTCACCAGGTCGACCGAGGTCGGGACTCCGAGCTCTGAGAGAGAGGCAGAGACTCAGCACAGCGCCACTTAAGCTCCTCCTCCTCAAGGAGTAACTAAAGGGACATAAAACTGCGCCTCCTTGAAGCTGCGGTGCAGATGTTCTCACAGATGTTCTCTTACCTCCTCGCTCGTTGAAAACAGCGAGAGATGGCGAGGTGTCAGCGGCGCTCCACAGCCGCACCGTCCCGTCGGCCGAGCAGGAGAGGAGGCGGCGGTGAGCCGAGCTGTAGACCACACCCCACACCGCGTCCGTGTGACCGCACAGCGCCCCCCGCAGGACGGACGACTCTGCAGAGGAAACGAGAGCAAATCCTCACGTGAAGATGTGAACACAGAGCACGACGAAGGCGTGTGCTGGGAGGAGCCGGGTCGTACCATACGAGTCGTAGGGGTCGATGTTGGGGTTGGGGGTGTTCCAGCTCTGAATGGTGCCGTCTACGCCCCCGCTGAAGCACTGCTCGCCGCTCGAGCTCATGGTGACGCACAACACGGCTCCGCTACAGGACGAAACCAGAATGACAGACACTTACGTTGGTTTTATGACCGCATGAACGGAGTCGGGCTGAAGGTGGGCGGTGCTGGGAACGCTCCCACGCTCACCTGTGGGCTCGGAATGTGTAGATGGGCTCCACGTCCAACGCCGCGCACCTGAGGACCGAAGCAGAGGAGTGAGACCGCCGGCTTCTAAAAGCCGTGTTCGTTTGTCCTGTAACATCAGCTCAGGCTGCAGACTGCACGATGCCACAGAAGCCCCGCCCAACTGCAGTTTAAACCTTCTGTTTGTGAGGGGCAGCCAATCAGAGGAAAGTTTGCTTAACCCTTTAGAGCCGGTCGGAGCAGCACGCTCGGTTTTGCGTAACTATTTTTAAATCCCGGTAGCTCTGCAACCACGTAGCTAGCGCAATAAAAAATGTTTTGCATATGAAACCGGAGGAGTTGTACTTACCTCTGATGCCATCAGCTTGTCCTCGGTCATGGTTTCCTTCCACATACAGCTTTGCAAAAACATCATAAAAAGCACTTGCAGCAACAAAAACATAATATTCCAGAAACAGGCTTTGCCGATCGATCAGCTGTTTGTAACACTTCCTACGTCTATCAGCGTGAACTATCGCATGTCCGCCATGACCTGCCCAAAACTGGAAGTGACGTCATTTTGCGGAAATGTAGTTTTTTACCATCGTGGCCTTATGAGCCTATACTTGTGTTTTTAAAACTTATGTTTGACTTTATGACTTTCTGTGTCGTTTCTGGGATGCTGAGGACTCATATTGCACTGCTGGAAATAGTTTATTTTGATGCATATGCTGTTATTTTGCAAATTTGCACTATAATATTTATTTGCGTTTTTCCTGCAGTGTATAAAAATTGGTGTATTTCAAAAATTATGAAGACACTCAAAAACTAGTTTGTGCAACTTTTTTGTATTTACAGTTTTGAGGGATAAGCCTCTTAAATTTCTCTAACTAGAAATATATGTTAAAAAAACAAAAACGATTTTCAATTTTTTTGTAGTTTATTGCAGTTTTTTGCAATTTATGTAATTACTATGCACTTAATGCAGACATATTATTACAATTTGGGCTATAATGGTTGTATTGATGTATATCACCTTGAAATGGCTCCACAGCAGGTAAACATATAATATAAGCTCTGGCGGACTTGGTTCTATGGCAGGTCTTAAAGGGTTAACGGGAGAGGAGCTACAACAGCTCGTTTCACAGAGGGGATAACCCGAGGCTCAGGATCATAATCAGAGGAGGATTATTTTGAGGAATCATGCAAAGCTACGTTAGCAGAGTCTACATTTGGATCCACGAGCCAGGCCAGCAGTCCCTCTCAGAGCGTTTTCAACTTCAGGGGCGGTATCTCGCTCAGGGGGACCGCCGCCGTTCAGTGGAGTCGAACCCCGACCTTCCAATCATGGGCCCACTCTACACAACCACTCTGCCTACTGAGCTGTCCCTGCCCTGTTTCATAGAATACGTGTGTGATGGCAAAACGTGGAGTCTCACTTCTTGGCGGGCGCCGTCTTCTGGAGGTTCCACAGTTTGAGGGTGTGATCCTCGGAGGCGGTGACCAGAACCGGCTCCATCGGGTGGAAGGCCAGACTGCGCACCGAGTCAAAGTGGCTCCGCAGGGTAAACTTCGGGTTCCACGTCTTCCTCAGAGCATCTTTGTTGTTGGCGATCTGAGGGAGGGAAAAGGTCTCATTAAGCTCTCTGATAGGTTAGAATCAGCTGTGGGGGCGGAGCTCTATGTCAGGGTGCAGGAGCACTGTGGAAACACTCCTTGAATATTCAAAACAAAACAAACCACGAGTGGAATCAGGTTTTACTCGCTGCTCTTCATCTTTTCTTTCTGGGATTATGTCCACGAGGGGGCGTGGCCTGAAGCAGCCTGTGACAGGTTAACGTTACTCACGTCGTACATCAGGCCCTCGGCCTCGTTAGCGACGGTCAGTCCGGCCAGCTCTCCCAATCCGAGCTCGTTAGAAACCGCCTCGTCCACTCTGCCCAGAATGAACGACTTCCCCGACGACGGCAGGAACGTCATCGCCTCTGCAGGACGGAAACAGGAAACGTTTGAACATTCACGTCACTCACACATGACCGCTGAGCCGAGACGGAGGGAGGGCTACCGTCATCGGGGCGTCCGACTTCGTGCTCGTTCAGCCTGGGCACGCTCGACCGAGAGGGGGGCGTCACGGCCGGCTGCATGGAGGGCAGGTCCTCGGCGTCCCGCAGGTTAGCCAGCATGTCCTGCAGCTTAGACCGGTTTGGTCCTGCAGGAGGAAGAAGAGAGACGAGAGAGGATGAGGAGGGGACAGGAAGCCCGATGAAGGCGGGAGAACAACGACGTTTGGAGGGAGAGATGAAAAATAAAACGTGAAACGTGAAGATGGAAAGAAGGAGCGGCAGCGGCTCTGCGAGGCATCGATGGCAAACAAAAGCAGAGAAACAAAGAAGACGCGCGAAGAGCAGGAAGGACAGAAACCTGCCGGACAGACGGCGACACGATGCAGGCGAGTCGCTGCCATCGCAACACGAGCACGGACGGAAACCAACAGGAAGTAAAAAAACCTGAAGATAACCCAAAGAACATAACCTGACGCAAACCAGGGCGCAGTTTCCACAGCGCAATAAAGTTTCCTACAAATCATCTCAGTTTGAAAAGCACACTGATGGTCCAGCTGTGAAGGAGGACACTGTGGTATCTGCACATCTGGACGGCGTGAGCATTAAAGCGGCTCAGGTCTTAAAACCTTCCACTCCACCGTCTTACGCTCCAGCACAACCAGAGCGCCACGCCTCAGTGACTGCAGTTCCTCTAACATGCAGCAGAGGCAGCAGTGAGTCAGTCCCCACAGACTCGTGTTCAAACTTTACAGCAGAAACAAACGTGTTTACAGCCTGATACACAAACTGTTTGAGCTCTCTGAGAGAGGGGCGTGGCCTCTTTGACTGTCACCTGCAGCTGCTAGCTGTCTGCTAGACTTCACCTCAGCTAACTGTCGTCCCTCAACTGTTCATCTTTTGTATACAGCCTCCTAACTGACCCTTGAAACGGTTGGATGCTACGACAGATTCATTCAGAAAACCAAACAGAGGGTGGAGGCGAATCCTCCAATGAGATTTCCCAAATAACAAAGCTGCCATCTAACATGTGACACACAGAGGACCAGTGATGGGACTGAGGTGATGTGAGGAGGGAAAACTTAGAGGTGGAAAAGAGAATAAATAGTTTATTATTACAGGAAGAGGGTGAGGGGAACAAAAGGTAAAGAGGGTGAGGAGGGAGGATGAAGCACAGGCCTGCAGCACGACTTACTCTTCACCCCCTTCTTGCCCTTGCGTTCCTTCCTGTACTGCTCCTTGAGCTGGGCTATCAGCCCCTGGTCCACATCCCAGGCCATTTCACCCAGAGGAGACTGCTCTTCCTTCTCTACAGGACGGAGGGGAGAAGGCGGGGAGGAGGGTAGTGAGGAGAAGGGAGGGAGGGGAGGCAGAAACATGTTGTGAGTGTCTGGCTGCAGTACAGTTCAAATCCATCCCTGAGGGAGACGTGATGACGAGCGAGGAACCTCAGACAGACGGGGGTAGCCCAGCTACGCTGTCGCTTTCATCTCTCAGCTGACCTCGCTCTATGGCGCCCCCTGTGCTTTACACACGTGTGCAGAGCCAGGCCAGCGGTCCCTCCCTCCTGTGAAACCTCGGCTAACCGCGTCCCGCGGAAACACGACGACGGCTGCAGAGGCAGCGAGTTGAGCGCCTCCTACAGGCGAGAAGGATGCAAAGATTCCTCCTGTACCATTCATCCCAGATAACCTCAACTAAAGACGAAGGCGACCTCACAGAATCTGCTCACCGTCTTACATCAACTTTAAAAATGTGCTGAATCTGTGTCTGTACGAGCGGGTCCAGGATTAACGATGTTTTTCACTCAGACCCAGAAGGAATCAGCTGGACGCTTCGTCCCACGTGAAGCTGAAAGCGTGAACGCGCTTTTTTCACATTTCCTCCAGTGAATCATCAGAGAAATCAAACATTCACATCGTGATGCAGCGAGTTGATCTGCGCCGTCTGAACAGCTTAAAGGTGTTTTTCACGCTCAAGTTATGAGACTATAAAGGATGCTTTCTGTAAAAAACCATGAGAGTCGAGACGCAGTCAGTTCATTCTGTTTCCTGTTAATCCTGCAGTTATTCACCTTCTTCTGTTCATGAGCTTCTACATTTTAAACAGTAAACCGGCTGTTCGGACTCTTCCTCTCCTCCGCTGTAGGGGGCGCAGTTCCACAGCTGTAGAAGCAGTCTGATGGGGACAAGCATTATCTGTACAAGGTCAAAGGGCACACCAGGCTCCACAGATAAGCGTGCAGTGACGGAAGCTGCCATGGTAACGGCGAGCTGAATGAAAGGTGAGAGGACGATGGAGCTGAGACGGGCAGCTCCATCCTAACCGAGCAGCCAAACGGGTTTTATCTGCGCTCGGCTGCTGTAATATCTCAGTGTGAAGGCGGAGGCAGCGTCACAGACTTCAAGATGGAAACGGCGTTAAAGCGGAGACGAAGCTCGGCGCTGCGGCCTTTCACGCCGTGAGCACACAGCACTGCGGTGAGACCCGCTGCACTGAGTCAGCGCTCCTTTACTATCTCGACTCGAGTGTTGACTCACCGAGCGCGTGGGGAGCTCTCAGTCATTGGCCGAATGACACTGGACCGGTTGCTAAGCAACAGCAGAAAAAGGGTTTCTTTATGTAAACACAGAGGACGGCGGGTCAGGACGAGCTTCGGTTTGTTTTACCTTCACGAAAAAGACGTCTGCAAAAAAGAGCGGAAACGTAACTTTATTACAAACTCGTTTAAAAACGATCAGAATTAAACTCACAGCTTTCACAGGTGCTGCACGGATGCTTGCCAGAACAAAGACACTTCCTGTTTGCTCTTTCTAACCTCACTCCTCCAACTTATTAACATTAAGAAAAGTTTCTAAAGGTCAAGTTTGCCTCAAATCTGGCAGTGACCTGCAGGTCGCTGTAGACAGGAAACTGGAGTTCCACAGGGCGCGACTGCGGGTCCTCCTGCATTCACGCTCTGAACTCTGGAGTCGTCTTTTACCACTGTGGTTAAAGCTTCACTCGCTAACGTTCTGATGCTCTGAAACCCATCGGGCGACTCACCCCACTCGCCGCTGTCATCCCCGCTCCTTGACTCGGGCGATCCGTCCAGCTCGTCTGGACTCGCCAAGAAATCAAAACCCTTCAGCGCCTCCTCCGTGTCCAGGTCATCGCTGAGGTCAGAGGTCGTGGAAGACGGCGTTGACGAGTGTTTCTTTCTCACCATCTGTGCAAAGGTAAAGCCACGTTTTTACAGCTGATGTTTACAGGTTTTAAGTTTTACACGTGCCCGGAGGTCACGCAGCGGCCACCGGGAGAAACGTGACTGCTGTCAGTCGGCGCGTCAAAGTGGCTACAAGGAGGAAACCGTCCTGCTCCAGAAGACACCGACGAATCTGTAAATATTTGCCATTTTAAGAACATTCGCCTTCAAAGTAAAAGCCTTGTCTTACTGCTGAAGCACACACGTTTCAACAGGCTCAGCTTTTACTCTGAAGGCGAGCGCTCACAGATATGCAGCCCAAGCAATGATGGTGGAGATGATGGAGTTCCAGGCTGGGCAGCACCTGCAGCACCCACACGAGCTCCATAAATGCTTCTTATGACGACAATATTATTACTTAAAAATCACACATGGTCTCAGTTTGGACATGAAAAACATAAACGTGCCGTTTCCAGATTTTTACAGACTGAAAGCTGTGGTTTACTCGCGTTTGTAAGATAAGGAACATCCTAATGACATTCCTGTGCTCTCCGTTACAGACGAAGCAGTCAGCACACAGGAACACGTTCCTCACAGTGAGCGGGCTTCATCGGGGCCTGCAGGCACAGCCACACAGAGACCCTGTGGAAACTGGGAATGCACACTTTCATCCACAGTTACAGAGAGTGAAAATAATCTCATACATTAAGAAAAAGTGAAATGACGGGAGTGTGTCAGCCTCTTACTGCAGCCAGGTCCAGGATGGTTTTGTCCCTCCCCTCGCTGTCCTCGTCCTCGTCGCTGAACTCTGCTGCGGCGCTCTCGATGAACTTGAAGGCCTCCAGCACGGTGGCCGAGTCGGACACGTCGGGCTTACTGCGGGAGAAACGGGGTTTTGTAACGACGCACGCTTTGCTGTGTGGCGTTTTTATTTCACCTCCTGGCGTCGTACCTGACCATGCCGCTGTCCTTCAGCGAGGACGGCTCGGTGCCGTTGACCATCGGCTCAGTTTTCTTGTCTGACGGTTTGTCTCCCGTGTCTCCGGCAAGACCGAGCAGCGCCCTCACCCTCTGAGACTTCACATCCAGGATGGTGTCCGTGTATCCGACCTCCTGTAGGTACCTGAGCCGGAGACAGGACACGAGGTCAGCGAGAGCTTCTGAGGGAGCGACAGCAGCCACGAGGTTAACGTGGCTGATCTCAGCTGATCTGTACGAGACGACCAACAGCTCTCTAAAACAACTGAACGGTAGCTGAACCCAAACTGTTGTAGATCGAGAGGCTACGGTAACGTTTAGCTGAGCTATGAAAGGTGACAGTAACAGCGCGAACAGACGTCCATATTTTAAGCCTTAAACTTAAACATCAGGCTGCAAACATGTTTATTTCTGCCTTAAAGATTTAACACGAGAGCTTGCGGGGGCTGACTCACTGCTGCCTCTGGTGGACGTTAGAGGAACTGCAGCTTTGGCTTACTTTGTTACCCTGCAGCCACATCTCTTAAAGAAACACCGCAGGTGCAAACAGATGTACCACAGCTGGAGGTCTCCAGAGTAACCCAGCTGTGAGATGGGGTCGAGGGTCATCCCACCTCACCTGTACCTGCAGGACTGCAGGTTGGACTAACAAACCAGCTCGTCAAGAAGATTAGGAGGGAAAAAAAGTCCTCCTGATCTTTAGAGGACTCCTGAATACCGAGTGTCCTCCTGCAGCAGCCGTGCCTCGCTGTTCCCACTGACCGACCACAAGTTTATGAACAGAGCAGCTTCTTTAAAGGGCAGCAGCAGTTTCCAACACCAGGCCGACACTGAGAGCGGGTCAGGGTGTGCGAGCATACAAACAGGAAGAACACACCTGACTGTGCTCGAGCAGCTCTGAACAACCTCTGATTTTATTTATTTGTCAGATTTCAAATCTGCAGTCAAAGCTGCGTCTGCTGCAGGGGGAGAGAGGATGTTAGTCGAGTTGCAGCCTGTTCTGGAGGACCTTAGAGTATCTTAAGAAAGATGCTGCCTGCGGTGGGAGCAAACCTCTTTGTACTTACTGAGTCCGAATTGAACAAACCGCTCGGGCGAAGCTCCTCTAAACTCAAAAAGTTCCAATTTAAGTCTCCGTACTGCACCGAGCCTCGACCCCGCTGACCTGAGAGCAGCGCTGCGGTCTGGCCTGAATAACGCCCAGTGTGTTTCTCACACAGTTCAGCCTCCCTCCCTCCCTCCCATCTGTACCAGCCTCTCCGATCGCAGGACGTCTTGATGCCTCACACAATCCTCCATTCACTGTCACCACAAACACTCACACATACACACACAGAGCTGCACACACGCACGAGTCTGAGGAGCTAACAGAAGCGTCGGAGCGGTGGATCGGTCCGATCACGCCCCGCGGCCTCAAAAACGCCGAGTTCTGCAGAGACACGGCGCCACCTGCTGGTGAAGACAGTGACGAGGATGCACCGTCAGGTTTCTCCAGCACGATCAGAGGACTTTAACTTTCACTGTTCTCGCCTGTGAGCCAAACTGACTCGTGCTGAAAAGGTTTTAACGCAGATTTATGGAGCGGCTGCGTAATATTTCAGACAGTGAACGCATCACCACCTGCAGGCAGATCTAGTTCCTGTTTGTCTTTGGTGATGAAATGTTCTTATAGTCTCTCATTGAAAGTACACACACACACACACACACAGACACACGCAGACACACGCAGACACACACACACACACGCGCGCGCACACACACACACACTCATTACAAGTGTTAATCTCTATTAAGACGATTGACTTTCTGCTTCTCTCTGAGAAACATTTAAACAGACAGCCGCCCTGTGACACACTGGACGTCTGAAGGCGTGTGTGTCTGCGCGTGCGCG